AGGTATACCTCAACTATGAGAGACAGAATGGGGGGAAAGAATCCAGGAAATCACATTGTAGGATTTTTAATGAATTAATTGGTAAATTCCTCGGTAAAATAAGTATTTGGTCACCTACAAACAAACAACTTCTTCTTTAAGAGCCTCCTCTGTCCTCCACTTGTTAACTGTATTAATGGCACCTGTTTGAACTCGTTATCAGTATAAAAGACACCTGTCCACAACCTCAAACAGTCACACTCCAAACTCCACTATGGCCAAGACCAAAGAGCTGTCAAAGGACACCAGAAACAAAATTGTAGACCTGCACCAGGCTGGGAAGACTGAATCTGCAATAGGTAAGCAGCTTGGTGTGAAGAAATCAACTGTGGGAGCAATTATTAGAAAATGGAAGACATACAAGACCACTGATAATCTCCCTCAATCTGGGGCTCCACGCAAGATCTCACCCCGTGGGGTCAAAATGATCACAAGAACGGTGAGCAAAAATCCCAGAACCGCACGGGGGGACCTAGTCAATGACCTGCAGAGAGCTGGGACCAAAGTAACAAAGGCTACCATCAGTAACACACTACGCTGCCAGGGACTCAAATGACAAAATGATTGATCCTTGCTATAGTAACCCAGAATCCACAGATTTCTCCATTACATTTAAATTCTTCAATGTTTCCCTAATTATTCAGCTGTATGTCTCAGAGTCAAATCCTCAGAGAGACCCCAGGGGGTAAAATAACACCCATCCCTTGTGTGGCAAACCCAATAATAGAAAGGAAGGGACTTGATCTCTATGGCAACCAGCCCTAGGGAGTGACTACATAGAGGTGGCATGATGAGGACGGTGCACATGTTTAATTCCTGAGTATTGATCTGCCTGCTGACTTTGATGACACAAAAACTGCCCACTCACTTCCTGTCCGCTCTTTTAAAGAACATGGATGGTTGGATGTGAATGAGAGTAATGTGTGGTTTTCAGAGGAATGCCCTGACATAGGGAGTGTAAACATGTCCGCATTTACAAGAGTTAGCAGCAAACAGAAGATTAACGGCATGTAGCTCCATTACTACCCTCTGAAACGTGATTTTGACAGCTTTTAACCGCATTACGGATGATCTTACCTGCCGTCTGGAGGTCTGTGGGCTGCGGGAGGACTGTGTCCCTGAGAAGGGGGGCAAGGACAGGGGAGGGGGGAGCCGCGGAGTCGAGAACGGGGTCGAAGAGGAGCTTCCTGTTGGCGAGAACACAAATAGTCTGATCAATCTTTCAATGGATGCACCTGCCGACCTGCAGTGGTGTTTCTTGAGTCTTCGGACGACACTGTTTGATGACTGCTCGTTCAAAAAAGATTCATATCAAAAACACAAGTGTTTAACTGAAAAAGGCCTATTATGGCTACAAATAACATTTTCGTTATCGAAAAGGATACAGAATGTTTCTTATTTGAAATTAAAAGTGAAATCGAAACTATATGTTTGACAAAGCAAGGAAACAAACATGCTTATTTTATCCTCATATTACTCCTAATATGTTTCTCAAAATATTTTTCCAGCCCCTTTGTCTAGAGTTTGGTTTAAACTCAATAAAGTTTTAAGATACAAATGGGGCTTACAAGAGTTCAAATTCTGCTGTTCATGTTAAAAATCCAGTATAAACAGGAGAATAATTAGACCGTGCCACCACCTCTTTTAACGTTGCAATCTAAAAATAAAGGCACTATCGTCTAAAAAAGAAAATAAATCCAGTATTGTTGAGGCTCGATCAAGTTTCACGTGTATGATGTGTTTCTGACCGTAGCTGCTGTGGAGGTCAGTGTAGGGGCTGGAAGTGCAGTCTTGTGGTCGCAGGTGGATTTGGGGGTAGAAGTTCTCAGGCATGGTGGCGTACCCCTCCTCACAGGAAGCCTCCTTCGGGTCGAGAGACACTTTGGCACATTCGATGACGATATCGTGGATTTCATACTTTTTCCACCTACAAAAAAGCATAGCACCGTTAGCCAAAGAGATGCAGTTGACTTCGGAAAATAGATTGAGAACTTAATTGTTCCGTTTCTAGACAGAGCAGGAAATAATAACCTGGTGGGGTCCAGCTCGTGGTCCTTGGTTCCCGTCACCAGTTCTGGGTGAATACGGACGTGTTCAAGCATCGGCTGAAGGGAAAGGTTCAAAATCTTTGTTAGTTATCAGCTAAGAAAACTCTAATGAAGTGCACGAAGCAGCAGGGATAACATCCTCACCTTCACTACTTCTTCAAAGGTTTCCATGTTCTCCTTCATGCTGTAATGGGAGCGCAGGTAGGACACGAAGTTGCACGGATACATGCCGTAGAGACGGTGGAAGAGGGAGTAGACACTGGCGTGCAGGTGGATTAGATACACCTCAGAAACGTGCCCTGAACATGTGAAGAGAATTAAAGAAAAAAAGCACAAACTTGAACTGCGGCGATACACGACACGATATCTGGAAATAAAGATGGTAACTATAATTTTAAGTAGCCAAAGAGTGATTGACACTTTGATGAGATGAATTTCATATATATATAAATGATATAAACAAATGATACCTTAACACCTACTCCCTCCAAAATAATATCATTTTTATGTGTATAATACAAAAGTGTTGCACCGAAATGTTTTGTGGGAAATGACAGGAAGCTCTAACCTGGATTCTTAAGGTTCCAAGACGCCAGGCGACCGAAGATGTCGAAGTACTCCCACAGGTGTTGTTTCCCAGCTTGAGGGATCATGGGTAGCAGAGTGATCAACACCAGAACTCCAGTTATCAGCACCACTACGTCTGTGTCCGTCTGCAGGAGAGAGAACACGCAAGTATTCAAGTTAATGATAAAGTCAGAGATTAATAGTTGTTAATAGTTATAAAAATGTAATTGTTTATCTGATAAGATGGTCTCTTAAGTTTCTGAATACGTCTTTATAATGAGGGTGGCATTGCAGTTTAAGGGGTTTAACCACAGCAGTATTTAAGCTAAACTAGTAAGGACAGGCATTGATAAGTAATTTATTGCCAATATTCAGCTTGTGGGGGG